AAAAGGCCATTGCTGCCGCTCTCCCACCACCCACACGGTATGTTTGTTGTGCCACAATACCAATGTTGAAAGCTAAAAATTACGGCAGAAGATCAAACGACAAAAATCCGACAATTGAACGAGCATAAGCTCTGGTCTGATCTACCATCCAGGAGGACCCCCCAATGCCAGCCCCTGTTGACTACCCTAGGCTATTCCACCCTGTTGGAACTATGCGACCTCCTAACCCAGCCGTTTCCTGACATTCCGAATGCACTGCACTCAGAGCAGATGGCGAGACTACTCCGGACTCCACTAGCCTGCAAATTGTGCATTTTTTTTTTTTTTTTTAAATACTTAGTACTCCTATGCAGCCTCGTTAGGGAGACTATGAGGAGCCACGCGGAAACCCGGTGGATTCAAGGGAGAGGCAAGTTGATCTGCCAGACCCACGCAAACTAGATACATAGACCGTGACTCATTCCCACCTGAAGAACTGGAAATTGAAAAACTGAAGGTTGAAAAGGACTCGCGAATATAAATGAACTGCAGGTCCTGCGGAAAACAGTGAACCAAAAATGTACTGAATGCAAACCGGAACAAATGGGACTCGTGAAAGTTTCTTAGTGGTCTACTAAGCGAGCTCTTTGAATAAAAGCCCGAAGAAGGCCTCCGTGGCCTCGAATGTCTCCTCATCCTCTTTCCTCCATTCCGGTTTGTCGAGCTCTTCCCAGCTACTTCTCTCCCCTAGCAGAATTCTTCTGTATCGATCGAACCGTGGACAGTCGAAGACTATGTGTTCTATTGTGCATTGAGGTGGCTTTGCCACCAGAAATCCTGGAACTACATCCGTATCTCCTGCCAAATCCCCCTCGACTTTCCCAGAGATAGGATATTACTTCGTTCTATCTTGTATTCTGAAAGAGACATATACTACTATCGGGACGAGCCTGCGGAGAATGACTTCATCCATCTCTGGGACTCCTTAATCCGGGATCCGCTTTCCCTTCTTAGCACGAGAGGTAGCGGGATAAGCCTTGGGTTTCGGAGAAATACCAAGGATGCAAGTGGCGCAACGAGAGCTCTACTACGACCTGACTTTTTGTGTTATATGAGAGGTGCCTTAGTCCTGCGCGGGGAGGAAAAGGGATCACCAAGGGAAATTGACATAGCTAGTATGGAACTCCAGGATAAATTCGGAGAATGGAGTGCTGCCTTTTACGGGCAATTACCCTTTGTGCTGGGCTATGCCACCGGAGGACCAAATATCAAGTATTGACTGCTTGTTTAGATTACTCTATCTATTATCTAACATTAATACAGTTTTTACCTTTTGACGCCTCGCAAAGAGTGCAGGCGCATATTTGCTGATCACCTAAACATGCATAGTCCAACGTCACGCCTGGATCTATTTCAAATCTGTGTCAACATCGTTCGACTACTTCGAACGATGGAGCCTCTCTTACCAACTCATGGGCGCAGGCTCTTTTGCCCTATGCAAAGATCCCACGATGTTAAGGTAGGCCTTATAGGGTCGTATGGTAAACCCCCAAGCTGAGGCGTGCAACAACAGATTACGATCTATCCCACGTTTGTCCTTAAACAGGTCCCCCGGCCTTGGGGCTTCTCCGACGAAAACGAACTTCTGTAGCTTTAAGATACCATCTTACAGAAGAATCCCCCAAACCTGATCGGTCTTCTAGAGCCCCCCAAATTGATGAGACGACACATATACCTGAGCTTGCACCCTGTCGGGCACCCAGTACTCCTACAACACGCAAGCGACCTGCAGAGGGCTATTTGACATATATTAAATGGCCTCAGTTTTCTACATGCGCACGGCTATGTCCATCGAGACATTCGCTGGGAGAATGTCATCAGGGACATCAATGGGAACTTCCTGCTAATTGACCTGGAAAACGCAGGTAAAGAAGGACCTGTGGATTACCGTATAGTAGGTTGGCCAATGCTGGCTGATGGAGGTGAATACACGAAAGAGATTGATATGGCTATGGTCGGTCAGCTTGTTGGGCAATACGGAGCAATACTGGACTTAACGGAGCATGGTCGAGATTTTGCGAGACGTGTGGCCTTCTCTCAGCGACGGAGGCAATTGAGCACCCATGGCTTGGAGGAGTATAGCTTTGTGGGAGGACGCTTTCTTTTCATGCGTGCTTTCATTCATTGGTGCTTTCTTTATGGTTGCTTTCTTGATGGGTGCTTTCTTGTATGGGGGCTTTATGGGTACTTTTATAGGTACTTTTTTTTTATGGGTAATTCTATAGGTGCTTTCTTTAGATGTACATTCATCACTCAACCCTCACTTGCTTGTCTCAAGTTGACATATCTGTAGGCACGAATATTGTGTATAGCATTAGGTAGCCCTCGTAAACTGTCATAGTCACACTATCCTTGTAATCTTGGCCTGCCTGTCACATTTTGTGATGACTCTAATGTGCATCTACTAGAGTAAGGGATTTCTTTCTTTTTTTATATTGCAGACGATAGCGCAGGTACTTAGGCACTTAGGAAGTAATATCATGGGGAGGATTCTCCGATGATAGATAATAATGCCGCCAATCAGATCGTTCTGAGCTTGCACAACAATGTAGGCAACTATGTATGCAGGTTATGTCAACCCTGATCTAACTACAACCTGCGACATAGGAAGGCGAGATGTTCATAAGTCAATAAGCAGCCAGGGTTTGGGTATGTAATTGCGACCGACAATATTTATGTCACTAAACCACGCCCCCTGATTAGATGTGTATGAAGAGAATTTCACCTATACCTACTTGTCAACTGACTCAGAGGACATCTCTAGAAAAGCATTAGTTACCAACGTTCGCAAATAAAACAAAATGCTATTCGCACCTAACAGCCTTAATGATTATATGAATGCCCTCTTATTTAGTCGGAGTGTTTTTGTGATGAATCTGTTTAATTGTCTCGCAGCTGACCCTGGCTAACCCGGAGAACTCATTAATCATAATTGCCTAACTGAGTAAATACATAGGCAGGTGGAGTCAGTTTGAGTAAAGGTACATCGTGATGGAGCCTCTCTTAATGACAAGCAGTTTATGTTGTATAGGGATGGATAACTTGCCCAATTGAGCGAACTCTAGTTATATAAATTAGTGGAAACCGCTCTAGTTCTCGTGTTGGAGAATAGCAATTGAGAATTTTATGAATGGTCAGCAGTTGATGTTGCTCGGAATGGAGCTTTTGAAGAATCTTGGAGAATAACCGCTTTATATTTGTAGCATGGCGATTAATTCTACGAGTTATAGCGGGGGCCTGGTGATTCCGAATTCTCCTACAGGCCCAGGCCAGCCAGAAATCGTGTGGGCTCACAGCCTTCCGCGAATTTAAATATCTCGCGGCTGGCCCGGAAAAACCCAGTGGGTCGTCCTTCGAACTGGCATATATGCTGCAAGCCCAGACTACGCAGAAAAACATTTGTTTAGCCTACGGAGAGCGCCCCCCAAACCGTCTCCCCAACATCAATCAACACGCAAGTATCTACAACAACAAACCAAGCTACCTACTTCGTCTTTTTATTTTTATATTTTTATTTTTAAGATACTCAGTACCCATATGCGGTTGCAGTAAGGGAACATCCGGAAACCCGGATGGATTCATGACGCGGCAAGTTAACCTACCAGGTCCGCAGCTAGGTACAGCGATGTAAAGATAACTTAATCAAGTGCGGCATAGTGAAGTGCAACAGCGCACAAGGGAATGAAATCAGAGGAAAATTAATGGGGGACTCAAGTGCCTCCCGGCGAGCGATGAGCTGGAAAAAGGAGATGGACTCTAAGGAGAATTAAACGGAGATGAAGACTTCCATGCTGTCATTAACCGGCCCGTGCCAGATGACCCCAAGGGGCTGACTGAAGTTCGGTAGTATAAATTTTCAAGAACCTTCCCAGATAGAGGACGATAGATATTTCTAAAGAATGCCTCGATAGCGTCCCTACGTTCACCCTCCTCTTCTTCTTGAATCCAGGCTTCCCGGTCTAGATCCTCCGAGTCCTTGATGCTCCCTAGACGAGCTCTGTAAGTTTCTAGCTCGGCATATGAAAAACCGATGTGATCACCATCCTGTGTGTCATTGCCGCAAGGCAATTGCTGGGATCCAGTTTAGAGATGCGGTGGAGCCATGTTTCTGATTAGAGAGAATGCCGAAGACATACTTCGGGCGAGCAAATACTCGAAGTGTAATATACTTGTTATATAATATCAGTCCTTTCAATAATCGTTATACCTTTTAGTAATTCATTTGCTTCATATCTTCTATTAAAAAATTCATGCCATATCTCTGTTCTGGTCCGTTACGGAATGAAACCGTTGCTAGTTCGTAAAAGTTTTCTTCAACGTAATACCGTTCAACGCAACACCATACTCTTCAACGCAACATACTAGTGGTAGTCAAATGAGAAAATATTTTCGATCTGATACTAGTACGTTATATTTATTTTTGATAAAGTTATAAACTACTTCGTATGTGAACCCAACTTTAGGATTTTCTTAATTGTGTAATTATCGGTTTCCTAGTTGTATTTAGTATTTCCTTTACTTTACTGAATCCTAGTTCTTCTACGATAATTTATTCGATATACTACTGTGCCTTGTACCTGACAACTTATTGTCACAGATGGCTTTCATCTAATTTTATCCTTTCTCACCTATGTTGATTAGCTGTTCGTGTACTATACTGGGGGGTATCTACATCCACGAATATTCTGTACCGAATTCGGACATGAGACTAGATTGGGTAGCCTGTATCGGTCCAGTTATCACAGCCTCAGAGAGTATAGTAGTTAAAGGTAACTATAGAAAGTATCACACCTTCTCAATGCGTGGCGATCTTGGGATCTTCATTCTCATATTGTAGCTCGGAAATGTGCCAATTTTATTTCCGTGGCACTTCCCGCTACATAAACTGCGTTTCAAACGTTTCCGATTAATATGGATGGACGTAAATATAAACCAAAAAAAAGAAAAGACAAAAAAATTATCGTCAAGAGCAGGGTTTGAACCTACGCGGGAAATCCCATGTGATGACCTTGAAGGGGATTCAAGTCACACGCCTTAACCACTCGGCCATCTTGACTTTGTGAAGGTTTTATGGTAAGACGGTAATATGGGCTAGTAACCTTTGCAGCTGACATGTTTATAGTACTTTGACACTGCATAAGATGCAATGTATGTCTTATTTATATGGAGCAGCTATGTGAAAAATCTAAATCGGTAAATGTGGTCATAATACCTCTCTAAATTCTCTCTAACTGCGCCATAATTTCCTATCGCGCCGTCTCACGGGCTTCATGGACTCACCGATGGGCCCTCCACACGGAAGATAAGTATTACTATGTATTTCGCCTTCACCTGTGAGCACATCTCCCTTTTGTTTTCATACGCATTCAGTCTCAAGAATGTATTTAACGTTTCTATGTAGTTATTTGTGTCGAATGGAATATAAAAAGCTCTCTCTGCCCGCAATGGGTCCTTACCCACAGAGGCCCACAAAAGTGCTGGCTCTCCCATATCAAGAAATCTACCTCCACAGCCAGTTCCCCAGACGAAGGATGACTCCCACATAGTGTTCTCCTGCCATTACCGAGCCCCTTTTTCGGTATATTCGACAGACCTGGGAAGAGAGATATTAGGGAATTGGGGGAGGGAAGGGGGGAAAAAAGGATAAAACTGGGATGCGGTTATTATAAATTTTCTTTTTACTTACTAAGCACAGGGAAACCTCCTGAGGACAAATGCTCCTGGGCTGTTAGGAAATCTTTTGAAGGAGGCAGGATTCGAGCCTACGAACGTAATTGCATGGGGATTGGATGGTTCCAGACTACACCATGCAATCCCGACCTCCCCGTTCCCCCCCCAAAAAAAAGAGAAAAAAAAAAAAACGTGAGTCGTTGTATGAATTCCCACCCTGAATTGTGTGTAAATATATTATGTACAGGTGAACTGCATATATCAGCGTGTCATCCTGGTGGGATTGTGGGAATGTTATTATAGGTAGGCAAGGGCTGAGCTCCAGGTGGCCAGTGTGCTGCCAGGGGCTCGTGAGGTCGGTTTCTGGCTCCAAGTGTATAGGGAGCGGCTTTGCATAGGATTCTGGGTAGTATGCGCCGATGAGGTAGCTATATGCATAATGTACCATCGCGTATGTGCATTGGCCTGTATATTTTTAGGTTGCTTTCATCCTATTGTTCTTGATTCCCTCCAAACTTCTGATTTAACTAACATCCGTCGCTAGATAGATCTCTCCCTGCTTATGGCGGGGGAAAAGGAAAGATAGGGTAAATGAGTGGTCCGGCAGCTATATACCGCAACAATAAACAAGCCGGAGTGTCAACCGGCTATAGCAAATGTGACTTTCAGTACTAAGAGTTGCTTTATTTCGTTGCGATCCTGGTAGAGGTAATGTGCGTAGCTTGATTTTGAATACAACCTCATATGGTGTATATCCCGTAGTAGAATGGACCCGGATTACATTAGATATACTCAGACGCTGAACGTTCGTTATGTGGTGGTATAGGTGGACCCGGATTACATTAGATATACTCAGACGCTGAACGTTCGTTATGTGGTGGTATAGGTATGGCCTAGTCTGATTGTCCTACCCCTTGCAGAGGGTACGGCCAGTGGTAAGCAAGTCTGACTCGTCTAAGACTCTGGTGCACTTGCATATTGACTCGGTGGACGGTCATATGTTTAGTTGAGGGTAATAAGCTCACCCGATAGCTACATTATCTAAATTATCAAGATATCATAAAGAACCATTTTTCTCCTACTCGCGGCTGCTTGCCTTACCCTTCAATCCACCCGGGTTCCCGGGTGGCTCCTCATGGCCCCCTTAACGGGGCCGCATAGGCAGTAACTAGTTTTAAAAACATTCCGTACTCTCCCGCGGGGCCCGGGCCAGCCAGGAGATGGGTGGTCTCCTGGGGGCCCGGTCCTCTCGCGAGTTTAATTTTCTCGCGGGCGGCCCGGAACACATATATAATAAGTTTCGAAAGCAGGTGTTCCTACAATATATGTACACATTGCCATTCTAAGGTTGCACACCCGACGCGCCTGCTCCACGTGGTGCCAAGTGGGGTTGATCATACCCAGTCGGGTGGACTAACACACCCTTAATTTCCCTGCCGGCCACCAAGATATGGTACCTGCCGCCAGATACCATGCGCACCCTTAGAGGGCCAGGCCTGCAATGTGTGTACGCCTAGCTAACATTATTCACAGGGGCGACAGAGCAAGTTGCATTGATATCGGTAAGTGTATTCTCATGCCCCAATGTGCGCACACAGAACTGACATGCCTAATTATCCAGGAGATTCGGTCGTGCCTGCGATATCCTGTACACCTGCCTTGCCTCCGATATCGACGCTGCCATGCCTCCGACATCGACGCTGCCATGCCTCCGACATATGCCTCCGACACATGCCTCCGACATCGACGCTGCCATGCCTCTGACATCGACGCTGCCATGCCTTCAACATCCACGCTGCCATCTAAACCCCAGTTTCGGCCCGTGAGTCTCAGAGGCCAGGTCAATTACTTTTCGCAGGGCTATGTTAGGGGCAGGTACCGTCTTGTTTGGTTAAGCAAATTCGTTACATATTGGCTGGGGCTGGGCCGCGACATGGGGAGGCGCAGGTTGGGTTCATGATGGATGGTGATTTGTTATACTCGCATATGATAAGCTTTTATGTACATAAACGAAATAGATATTTATGAAACCGCGAACCATATTGAACCCTTGATTGCCCGTAGCAGGCTTCCGTTTTACAGAAGGCTTCAGAACCCAACCAACCACACTACAGAACCCTATAACTCAGGTATAATACCATTTGACCTAGGTCCGGCAGGTAATATAACGGACCTTGCTGTTTGCAGAACCACAAGCCAAGTTTCGGGTTACTTGGCGATAACCCGTGGCCTTGGCGAGTATTCGGAAAAAAAGCGGGTACCGGTAACCGGATTTTAACGGGTTAATCGGCGAACGGGTTCGAGTCGGGTTGCTGCCCGACCCGACCCGTGGCGCACACTACCAACGATCCCCTCCCAAGACAGAGTATCCCCCCCCTCCTCCCATAGTAATTGCCGGAGAAGAGGAGTGGAAAGTTGAAGAGGTACTAGACTCGAGAAAAAGGTATAGACACCTGCAATATAAAGTCAAGTAGCTAGGGGATAAGGAAACAACCTGGTAACCTGCAGAAGACTTGGAAAACGCACAGGATCTGGTCTCCTTGTTCTATCAATGATACTCGAGGAAGCCCCGTCCAGTTGAGTGATCTCACCTTATTGGGGCCATTGTTGTTGTTCTTGTTTTCGCTTTTGCTCTCGTTCTTATTATTGTTTTGTGTGTTGATTTTGTCTGTTGTCACGTCCAGGCCTCCTTGTCGCTGGAGCTCCAGCCTAAAGGGGGGATAGTATCATAACCGTGTACTTGGTCCTGTTTTGATACTCGAACAAAATCCTGCCTGAGTATCGTATTATCATTCTTATTGTTGATGCTAGGCATCACCTGCGTCGCAGGTGATGGGTTATTGTTATCTTGCTTAGCTCCTGAAATAGAGGTCTCGGGAAGCTTATTCCTTCCGTTGCTCTGGCCTGGAATTATGTATATATACCTTTGTCTCTGTGCCCTCTCGTTAGATCCCCATCCAACATCTTGTATACTAAATACAAACCTTGCTTCCTCTCACGATTGGTGTACCTCCCTCGTACACCCCCTTGCCTTATCTTATCCCCGTAGCCCCACTACCAACTTCACGAACCCCCCCTTTCATTAACTCTAACACACGTAGCAAAGCTTCCGCATGTCTTGCCCTCTGTGACATCGTCCGTAATATCTATGACAGGTGTCCGTGACAGCTTCCTACTGCCCCTGAATCACACACGTAGCTATTCCTATATGTGCGAACCCCTTGCCTATTGCCCAGGTGTACCCCTTGGTTACCTTGAACCCCAGAGCCCTCGTTACAGATATGGTATCTAGATATATGATATATTATAGAGCAACTCTCAATTAAGGTATCATAACCAACGACTTATGACTACAACCTAACTATTGAGGTAGTCAGCTATCTGCTCAGACTAGACACACAAGGAATAAGGCTAACTAGTAATATTGTTGAGTAAGTGATCACCCGGCTACCCAAGGGATCACCCGGCTACTCAAGGAATACCGGATGCGGAGGAATAGTTGGAAATGCTGGATGCGGAAGTGTAAGGAATGCCGGATATGGAGGAGAAGAAAATTTCATCATGATGGTGCAATTGGTCGTGATAGCAGTCGCAGTTAATGGGATGGATGTTATTGATAGGATGGATGTTGTTTTGTCTATTTAAAGAGGAGTATCTCTACTCTTGTTATATCAATTTTTGTATTGATTATCAAATATATTCTTCATGCCTCATCCACAGTGCAAACACTGTCTTATTTATTTATTTCATGGTAGCAACATGTCATTTATATCTCGAGTACAATGTCTGCATCCAATTTATCCACCACAGGATCATTATAGTTCAAACTCCTGAAGACAACAGCACCTCTTAAGAACAAGGTTGACTATATAGCATGGGCTAAGGAAATCAGCAGAGCCCTCCAAGTAGCGAACCTAGACAATGCTATCAATTCTGTGCAAGGGATACTGCCAACCCCTATGACATAAGAATTCTAGACTCTTATAGACAAAGCCCTCACTATATTACTGGCTAACTGCAAACTAGAGCCACTCATACTAATTCGGATATGCGATACTGCACTTGATGCATAGAACATTCTAAAAAGACATTATAAAGGAAGAATATGCTCTTATATATTATTGTTCCTTCTAGCAATAACCAACTTCTGTTTCAATAACAGAAAAGAAACTCTGACCCAGCATATAATAAACTTTGAGAATAGGTAGAACAATCTTCTCACTAATGTCACCTCTGTAACACCATTATCCGATTCTCTAGCTGGGAGCATTAAGTATTTTATCAATAATGATAGATGGAAGGTGACTAACTATGCTTCTCTTTATATTACTCTATCTCCCTACTTATCATAACCTCATCATGAATATTACAGGGGGAACTGCCAAG